GACCCCCACAGGCTGGGACCCAGCGGGGTTGATGGGGTGCAGTGCTCCAGCTGCAGGGCTATCATTCTGGTTATGGGTGAGGGTAATTGCCTTGTTTAAATACCAGGAAGTTATTTTTGTTTTCATGAGCAGAAAAATTACCTGGCATGGTTTTCAGAAAAGGATGTTAGTTAATTGCAAGACTTAAACCTGGTGACAGCTCCTGGCCAGGGACAGCGACATGACACCCAACTGCCTCCCATTCTCCCTCTCTCACTCAACTCCTGCTGCCTGTTAAAACCTGCCAGTAGGACTAATTGGACTACAAGGGTTTTCTAAAAATGTATGTTCTAACTGAATTGTCAGTTTCTTCCCTTGTGTCCTTGGGGCATGTCATACCATTAGCCCCTATGACCCCCTGAAAAGAGAGGGGGTCCGAGGAATGAAATAGAGGGTAGGAGAAGGAGCATGACTCAACAGCACCATAGTGAGCAGTATGAAAATAAATGGGACTTAGTGGGTAATGTGCCCAAGATGCGTCCTATTTTGTAATTCTGTCCAGGTCCATTTCTAATGAGTCTGTAAAGAGCAAAACAAGAAGGGTCTTCAGAAAGTTCATGGAAAGTACACATGAAAATATTGTGTATGGGTTTCAAAATTTTTCTCCCACCAAAATACACTTAACTTTTCATTCTATTTTTGCACCCTCTTTTTGACATGTGTTCGTGTGCATTTCTATCCATCTCTCTGAGCCTTAGCATCTTCCCAAACTCCTGGGCGTCTTGGAAAGGGGGTCACAGTCTCCTAGAGGTAGCTACAGTTGAACTCTAGGGGATGTATATACATATTGAGAGAAGCAAGGGCCAGGTAAGGGCTGGGTGACAGCCACACAGCCCCAGGAACGTGAGCAAAGTTGACCTAAGCAGCTCAGTTGGTTCCATCAGAGAGAGCCGGCGGTTCTGCCACAGCATCCCCATCGCCACGGATGCTCAGAAGGGAACAGTTTTATTTTATTATTTTTTTCATGCCGCACAGTCTCATGACTCTCATCTTTCCTCCAAGTCCAGCAGCTAGCATTTGCACGACGGTGATTTATTTCAATTCTCTTTTTATTAATAGCTTCTCATATTTGGCCAAATCAAATCTTTTTGCTGCTGCTCAGAATGTTAATGCGAGGCCCAGGCGGAGGAGCTGCTTCTCAGGCCCTTGCACAGATACACACACACATATATTTCAAGCCAAGGGACTTGCCCTTTAAAATGCCTTTTGCATTTAGCTCAGAAAACGAAACGGGATTCTGCAGGCTGGTGGGCTGGCTCTCTCCCCATCGCACCTTCCACATCTTTTAAAACTCAAACTCACTTTCTCCACAATGGTTTATAAAAACCTTTTTCTATTTACCTCTGTTGAAGGATTTTTTTTTTCATTTCTACAAGTCATTTCCCTTGAAATGAGTTTTGAAGATTTGTGTACTTTTAATAGCATATTTGGAAAAGAAAGGGATTTGTCAGCTTGTGGATAAGACTATTATGTACATAAATATTCACAAAATATTTTGGGGTCTATGAGGACAAAGCTATGCATCCAATCTTGAGCGGTCTTCTCAACATAATGCAGTTTGTGAGTTTCTTTCTTGAAATCTTGTCTTTGTTGATCACTTTGCTTCTGACTCAGTCCTTGATGAAAATGTCCTTCAAGCAGGAAGATGCATGGCTCTGCCTTATCACCCTCACCTAGTGCAGGAGGTTGCAGCTGGGAGAGAATGTGTGACCCAGTTGGGGACAAGATTGTGTCCAGTGGAAGTCACGGCCTCCAAGTTCAGCAGCACACAATGGTTTTTAAATCAAGCTTAGATCAAAGTCTTCCTTTCTTGCTCTCAGTGGGCCTCGCGTCCAGACAGAAGACCTTCCTCCCACATATGTGCATTTGCCCAGGCAACGGTTCGCTGTCTGTGCTGGTGGCTGCTGGCAACAGGGCTGAGGGCCCCACACAAGTGGGTCATCATTTTGGAAGGAGCTGAATGAGTCTTGTGCTGATGGAGCCAATTTATTTTCTGGATTACTCATTACAGCTTAGCTTAATCGACTCCGTGCTATTAACATGAGGTCGCATTGGGCAGGGGTGACCAACAATGGGATCTGGAAGGGCAGGAGAGAGTCAAACGGGAGGAAAGGAAGTTTCAGGCTCAGACGCAAAGCTGACGTCGAGGAGATAACTAGCAGTGAACCCACAGCAAGGGGCACCTTTGACTCAGAGACTTGAGGCTTTGTTGTTTTCTTCTCAGAATCTTTTTTTAGAGCATCACTGTTTATTATGTGGGTTTTTGCAAAACAAAATAAAGCACAGAAATGCAGTGTGTGGACAGAGTTAAAATACTGAATGGTGATTCGTCTTCTCTTCAAGAGACCATGACTCCTACTTCTGGCAAAAGAAAGGGGTTGCTGTAAGTGGAAACAAATCGGCCATTAGTGTCACAATTTTGCCCAAAAAATGATGTGTAAATGCATTTCCCCTGCTGCCTATCATGGGAGGTGAAAGAGGAGTGAAAGATTTTGTTTTGTTACTTCCTACCTTGGCACCATGGTATTTTAATTGCAGTAAAACACACAGAACATAAAATTGGCCATCTTAACTATTTTTAAGTATACAGTTCTGGAGTTTTAAGTGTATTCACACTGCTGTGCAGCTAATCTCCCAAAGTCTTCATCTTGCCAAACTCTATACCCCTAGACAACTCCCCATTCCTCCTCCCCTGCACCTGCTAAGCACCTTCCGGGTCTTTCTGTCTTCTCAGGGCCATCGGAAGTGCCTGTGCTGTAAAGACTCTTTCACTTGCAGGGAGAAGAAGCCCCTGGAAAGCACTAAAGCAGCAGAAAGAGTGCACAGGGTCCAGAGGCTCCGAGGAAGGGCTGAGCCACGAGAGGCAGGGAAGCCTCGGGAACACACAGGTCCGCCCCTTCCTGGATCCTTCCTTCTTGGAGCACATCAGCTCCTTCTGCCCCTCTGCAGAGGGGCTTCTACTGCATGGCAAGGCACACACCTCCCAACAGCCCCATATCTGCTTCACCCAGCAGAGATACAGGGATCCACCAAGCTCTTTGGTTCCAACATATATTCCTAGGAAATGGGCTTATTGATTCAAGTGGATTATATTGATCCACTGATCAACCAATCTTACTGATCAATTGGACCTATCAGCCAGCCATGGCCAGCTTGGTATGGATGCTGTCATTGACTCAGCTTAAGTCAGATGCCCATCTCTGGCCAATCAACTCTGGTTAGGGGAGGGACATGTAAGATCATGACCAATCCCATGGAGACTATAAGGATTTGAAGGCTTTCCCAGCAGAAAGTGTCAGAAGGACTGGGCAGATGTTAGAGGTGTCCACCATCTCGTCCTTCCCATCGTCTTCCTCCGCCAGCTGCCCATGAACTTCAAAGCCACTCATGCACTGCTCACTGTGCCAACCATTTTCTAGGAGATACCCCCTTTCTTGATCATCCTTTCTTGCCACCAACAGGAGTGCCTGACACACATGGCCACGTGTTCTGGTGCGGGTGTGTGTTTCATGGATTACTGTTAGAATCCTCAATGGAATTTCCCCAGTGGAATTCTTGGTCTTCACAAAAGGTACAAAAGGAGGAGACCTTCTCAAGGCTGTTACCCTAATTCTCACAGTGGAATGGGAAGCATTGGGATCGTCCAATCAGCCCAGCTGGAGCAGCTCCGGGCTGCTGGCAAGAGGACAGAGGCATGCTATCATTAGCACTGCCCTAATTCCCTTGTGTTTTGACAGGGGAGGCTCCATCTGCATCTTCCAGTTGGTTGGATTATTCTTGCCTTTAAAAGACTTGCCCTGGTGGGCCGGTGTTGTGTCGTAGAGGATAAAGCCACTGCCTGCAACACCATTATTCCCTAGGGGCTCCAATTCTTGCCCCAGCTGTTCCACTTCTGGTCCAGCTCCCTGCTAGTGGCCTGGAGAGAGCAGCAGAAGATGGATCAAGTGTTTGGGCCCCTGCCACCCATGTGGGAGACCCTGATGAAGCTTTTGGCTTTCAGCTTCAGCCTGGCCCCAGCCACTGCGGTCACCTGAGGAATGAACCAGTGGAGAGAAGATCTCTCTCTCTTTCCACCTCATCCTCCCTCTCTCTATAACTCTGCCTTTCAAATAAATAAATACATCTTCTAAAAATAAAGACTTGCCCCAGCACTCCAGTTGAGTCCATTGCCCACCAACACCAGGACTCCACTGTGTACCAGCTGGAGGGCAAAACCCGACTGCGTCCTGTGAGGCCTCCCTGCCAGGCTGGCCAGGGCTCCCAATCTGCAGTAGCAGTGACCCCACAGGGACCCCCAGGGAAACTCAGTGTTTCCCGGGCTCTCCCAGTAGAGCTGAAGCCCTCGGTGGTGTTCGTGTGAAGGCCTATTTAAGCTAACACGCATGGGCTGGGCAGCTCCCTGTGCATTTTGCAGATCATTTGTCCCAACTGGGCTTCCGTAGATGCTCTCATAGTCTGCTGCTCAGTCTGCTAAGTGCCATTCACAACTTTGAAAGATGTTTCTGGCTACAAGCATAGCACCGGGCTTTCTTGCCTAAGCAGCAAGTAGAATCATAGTATTTAGAGTCAAGGAGGTTTTACTATGCGGCAGGATAAAGGGAATCATTTACTGAGTGCTTACTGCATGCTCACAGTGCCTAAGATCGTGCTCAAAAGAGTTTCAGCTGTGCTGAGGAGGCCCCGCGTACACCACAGGGGAGCCGTTGGCGGACAAACTGCTGCCTGTGTCTGCCTCGAGTCCCTCTCCCTTTAAGCAGCGCAGTCGCCTGACTTCCTCCGGGGAACCACTCCTACTCCACTCTCCGACCACGCGGCTTTATAGCACCGCCCCTTCCCACGAGCCGCAGCCGTCAGGAGAATCTGGGCCAACTAATACTAAGGTTGCATAGTTCTGATTGGGTCATAAAGGGGCATGTGACCCGAGGCTGGCCAATCAGAGTAATTCTGGGGACTTTGCGGACAACAGTTGGGAGAGCCTTGGTTTTCTGCCTGTTCTTCAGCTGATGAGATGGTGATCCAGACTAGCTGGTGGCTGCGGGCTTTCCCCACGACACAGATGAGGAAAGTAAAGCATACAAAGTTGAATGAACCATCTGAAGTTAGAGTCAGCTGGAGGAAAATCTGGGATTCAAATCCAAGCAGCCTGGTTCCGGAATCCGTGCTCTGCTGGGGTGACTTTCACAGAATCCGTGCACCTCTCATTGCCCAACAGAGACTCTATGCTCCTCATAGTTGCTACTCCTTACGGAAAGCTCTCCCAGGTCTACTGGCAGGATGATTTCTGGCTGTGGGGTACACCCGGCTGAACCATGGGTAAAGAATCCAAGGATCACAAATGTAGGAGTGAGGTAAGGCAAATAACCCACTTAGAATGCCTTAGACAAAGGATTAATAACCTGCTTTGGGTTCCTACTTCCTTTGAGAATTTGAGGAAAGTCATTGGTTATCCACGCTTCCAAAAATAAATCTGTGTGACAAAGTTCTTATGACTACAAGTGACAAAAGCCCAATTCAAATCATCTTGCTATAAAAGGGGAAAGTATTGCTTCATCTAACCATGGTGAGACCACAGTGCAGCCAGGTCAGCTGGAATCAGGGACAAGGCTTTGGCCTCTGTATTTGCTTTTTCTGTTTCTTTGTGATGATTTCATTCTCTCTTACGCTGGTAGGCACCGTGGCTGAAACTGAGTCTCATTTCACATTGAGATATTTGGGGATCCCAGTTGGCTGTGGGTTGTGGGCTGACCCCTGTGGCTTTAGGAGCAGAGAATTGTGATAGCAACAGTAACCACCTGAGGAAGAAGGTGTATCTTCAGAAGACAGGGTGTGGGGCAGACAAAGCCAAGATGACTTTGATGAAGAACCCAGGGAGGGAGTACCTTGACCCAGAGCCTGAAATTGTAGTTTGCAAATAGAGAACTGAGGCTCTTGTATGACTGAAACACTGACCTCAGGTTCAATTATCTCACTATTTCAAGGGAAATGTTTTGGTCAAGATGATCCAGAATGTGGCCTCCAAATTTTTCCTGCTTTCACGAAGAATTAGCAGCAAAGCGCATATCCCTGTGCCCTAGCAAAGGGAAAATTACTGTAGAAAATTACAAGAAGATGTGAATTTCTTCCTACTGGGAAAATACCGTGCTCTGTGATCAGGAAGTGTCTCGTGTTTCCAAATGTTAAGAGAGAAATGAAAACACATTAGATCAAATTGGACTTGACCAGTTTTCTACCTCCGGTATTAATTGTGCAAAATCAGAAATGCTCAAGTGGGATTTTAAAGGCACCCCCCCCCATACACACATACACACACACACACACAGACAACTCCAACTGAAGTCTCCTTCCATCTGTCCTCCGCACAGATGCCAGGTCAATTTGCACAAAACACCGCTTCTTTATGGGTCTCAATCAATTTCCAGTGTTCAAGACCATGTGCAGTGGGGCTCCCCTTCCCACACCAGCCTCATCTCAACATTGAGGGTTTGCCCCCTGAATCCTTAGAGCTTTGTGCTTGTTTTTTCTGCTCTAGCATCCTCATCTCATCCTTTAACTTCCTTGGCACCACCTCCTTTGTCTGAAGCCTCCTTCCTGTTTCATCTCCGTAGAGGACTAGCCTGCGAAGCAGTGTTTGCCCGTCTCAGAATGTGCTCTGACTCATTGCAGTTTTCCTCTGTTCGCTCCACATGCAGGAAACTGAGAACTGCATGCTGCATTCCCTAGGCTTTCTTGTTAATTGACTTCCAAGTGGACTCACACTGTAGGAGCTGGGAAGCCAGAGGACAGTTCTGAGAGGAGACACCTCCTCTGGGGTCAGCTGTAGCCTCTGGGTACCAACAGTAGCCTTTGCTGTGGCTCATCTGGGCTGCCTCACTGATGCTGTGTGGCTTCCCAGGTCTCCCAGTGTAACTGCAGATTTGCAGTGAGTCCCTCACACTCATTCTCTTTATTTGACTACTTGGACTGGATTGGATGAATTTCTTCCTGACTGGAAGCAATGGAAAGAAGAATCCACTTCTCTACCTGCCCTCTGACCTCCTGCAATCCACATCACATATATTCACTTCTTTCAATGAGATTTCTTAACTTTGATATAGGAGCACAGTCTGTACTGTTCCAAAGAGCACAAAATAATGAACAGTGGGAAGAAATTTTTCTTCTTGTTCTAGCTACTCAGTCCTCTGTTTAGAGAAAATCAGAATTAATAGTATCTTCTATCTCCTTCCAGAGATTTTCTTTGTGTGTCTGTGCATGTTGGTAACAGCGGGAGCATCTATACCCATGGACTTTGTATTTTCATTTGATAATGTGTTTTGGAGAGCTTTCCCTAACCATACAGACAGATCCACTTCAGAACTTTATTGACTGTCTGGAATCTCCTTTTATGGATATCATAGTTGATTTAACTAGTTCTCTATTGGTAAATATTTGTTAGGTTTTTTTTTTTGTATATTTGGCCATTATAAAGTACCTATATGTATACAAGTTCTGTCAATTCCTAGAAAAATTACTAAGGCAAAAGTATATAAATGTGTATTGGCTAAACAGAGTCAAAGTGTCTTTTGAGGTGCCGGTGCTATGGTGTAGTGGGTAAAGCCACTACCTGCAGTGCCAGCATCCCATATGGGCGGGGGGTTCGAGTCCTTGCTCTTCTACCACCTATCTAGCTCTTGCTATGGCCTGGGAAAGCAGTAGAAGATGACCCAAGTCCTTGGGCCCCTGCACCCACATGGGAGACCTGGAAGAAGCTCCTGGCTCCTGGTTCCTGGCCTTGGATCAGTTCAGTTCTGACCATTGTGGCCAATTAATTAGGGAGTGAACCAGCAGATGGAAGATCTCTCTCTCTCTCTCTCCTTATCTTTCTGTGTAACTCTGACTTTCAAATACTAAAAATAAATTTAAAAAATCTTTTTTAAAAAAGTGTCTTTTGAAGAAGTTGTACCATTTCACTTTCCCACCAGTTAAGCACTGTTCACCCACAAACTTAACAAAAAGTGGGTGTTATCAGAAGTTTTGCATTTGCCAATCTGGTGGGTGACAAATGTTACCTCACCTCCACTTGCTCACCTGGGGCTACCTCCACAGCCATCTAATGCTTTTTGTTTATTGTGATTTGCAACACTCCATTCTGCTACTATTATTGTTAGGGCATGAGTTACTATTGTCTGAGGGCCCTCCATGCACCTGACTTCCAAATACAGCCATCCAAAAGCAGGATATTTTCCTTGTTGTGTAGAGGGAGAAACACAGCTTAGAGAGGCCAAAATCCAGGCATTTGTTCAAGACCTCACAGCTTGGAGGCGAAGAAGCTGGAATTCCGCCACAGAAGTGTTTGTCCCCAAGGTTGTGATCTTCCCACCACACTCTATCCACTGTTGAGTTACCCTTGGCTGGGGAATGTTAGTCTTGGACTTCTTACAGTCAAGGTCAATGTGCTACACTGTTTGGTACATGAACGAAGTGCCAAACGCTCAATTAGAATCTGCTGGTCAAGTAGAATTCCTGGCCTAAGATACTCCTTACCCACAACAGGTTTAGTAAATTGTGAAATGCTTTATAAACGGCAACTTTTCTCCCCATGAAAGCAACTAGTACAGCAGGCGCCTGGTCCAAGGTAAGAATTTAAAAATTATGTACTGAATGGATGAATGAGCTTGGTCGTGTTAGGGCAGCTTTCCCGTCCTAGAGCTGGGCAGTGAAGTAGAAGAAGATTGAGAGATGCTTGGACCCCAGGACGCCCTGAATGCACTCAGTTGTCCCTCGATCCACAGGAGATTGGTTCTAGAATCTCCTGCAGATGACAATATTCACAGATGCTCAAGTCCCTTAAATACATTGGTGTGTTGTTTGCATATAAGCCACACACATCCTGCCATATACTTTAAATCACCTCTAGATTACTTACAATAACTGAGACGCTATGTTAATAGTTGTTACAGAGGCCAGTATGTGGCACAGTGGGTTAATCCACTGCAATAACAAAGGCATTCTATACTAAACTGCTGGCTTAAGTACCAGCTGCTCCATTTATGATCCAGCTCTCTGTTAATGCACTTGGGAAAGCAGCAAATGATGGCCCAGGGACTTGGGTCCTTACCACCCATGTGGGAGACCCAAATGGAATTCCTGGCTACTGGCTTCAGCCTGGGCTAGCCCTGGGCACTGTGGCCATTTGGGAAGTTCACCAGTGAATGGATGATTTCTTTCTGTCACTGTCTCTCCTTCTCTGTCACTCTATCCTTCAAATAAATAAGTAAATGTTAAAAATTAATTGTTGGGGCTGGCGCTGTGGCATAGCAGGTAAAGCCACCACCTGCAGTGCCGTCATCCCATGTGGGCACCTGTTTGAGTCTTGGCTGCTCCACTTCCTGATCCAGCTCTCTGCTATGGCCTGGGAAAGCAGTGGGGGATGGCCCAAGTCCTTGGGCCCCTGCAAACCCGTGTGGGAGACCCAGAGGAAGCTCCTGGCTCCTGGCTTCGGATGGGCCCAGCTCTGGCCATTGCAGCCACCTGGGGAGTAAACCAGTGGATGGAAGACCTCTCTCTCTGCCTCTGCCTCTCTGTAACTCTGCATTAATTGCTGTGCTGTATTGTTTTAGGGAAAAGTTGTGTTCAGTAGAGATAGAGCCATCACAGGCCTACTTACATGTTCACTACACAGTTGGATGAATCCAGAGGCAGACTCTGGATACAGAACATCTGTATTTCATCTAAGATTCTCCAATGCCAAAGGTGAGGGTAGCTCTCTGATGTTTCCCGATAATCAGGCAGAACTCACCTGTATCGGCTCTGCTCCAGCTGAACGGCCTGGACAGGTGAAGGACAAGGGGAGGTAGTCATGTCACATGGAAGGACCCATGGGTACTCCATTTAGAGCCCCACTGCTGATGGGGAATCTGTGGAAAGACAAGAAACACCTGCAGCTCTGACAAGATGGGGATAGGGTGATCCCCACAAGAACCCGTGGGCCCCCCACAAGTTAGCAAGAAACTGTTCATCCTGGGGCTGATGCTTTGGCACAGGGGGTTGGGCCACCGCCTGTGATGGCGGCGTCCCATATGAGTGCTGGTTTGGGTCCTGGCTGCTCCACTTCTGATCCAGCTTCCTGCTGATGTGCTTGGGAGGGCAGCAGAGAATGGCTAGTGCTTGGGCCACTACCACCTACATGGGAGACCTGGATGGAGTTCCTGGCTCCTGGCTTTGGCCTGGCTTTACCCTGATCATTGCAGCCATTTGGGGAGTGAATGAGAGGATGAAAGCATCCCCCCCCCCCATCTATCTATCTCTGCCCTTTGAATAAGAAATCTTTAAAAAACACAAAATCTGGCCGGCGCCGCGGCTCACTAGGCTA